CACGCAGGCGGTTCGATTTGCCAAGACGCACTTGCCGCCACAGTCGTCCTCGTGAGGCTCGACTAGGCTCGGGTCGACGCATCGATCCAAGGCCCGGACAGACAAGGTCTCTTCATGCATCGAACATGCCCGGATCGATGCGACGGCTCTTTTCAAACCTTCAAGCCTGACAGACAAGGAGGCGAGAAAAGGCGCATTTTCGCGCCGGCAGTCTCGTCAGCTCCGATTCATCTTTGTCGGCCTCGGACGTCTTTAATGCCATCCTATCGGCAAATTCGCCTCAGACTTGACGTTCATGGATTTGCCCATTGCAGGAAAATCGATACTTACTTCCTCAATCAGCCCGGACGTGGACAAACTGAAAAGAAATCTGTACCGTTGAGTCAAGTTTGGTACATTCCCGCCACCGTATGCGATCAAGGATGACTGGAACTTCTATTCACGCTTTACTGATATTTTCTAAAACTATTTTCCATGCAGACAAGTCATGTAGTCATGCAAGTCATGCAAGTTTTATGACGTGTTTTCACCCTATTTCGTTTAATTTGATGAAGGACCCGTAGGTGAGTTTGCCCACGACCAGTTGAGTAGAGCTTAGGTTTCCAGTGCATTTCACTTGGCCCTGCTCTGCCAAAAGTTGTTCTCATCCAGGCATAAGTGGAATGCAGGCTCGACCTCGCCTCAACCGATCTCATCAATACCCCCAACGGGAGTCGAACCATGACAGTTCCGCGTGTTATCCGCCACGTAAACCACCACGCCACATTACCACGAAAAATACAGGCTTCCTTTATTGACGATTCCACATAGAAAGTGTGATATTTCTGCGGCTTGGCGTTGCTTGAAGTACCCGTCTTGCCTGTCAGCCTGGGACACCCGAAGCACTACAGTGTAGTGGTTATGTCGGGATTTGATGCTACACCACCACAGCCGGGGTTCGAGCCCCGTTTGGTGCTAATGCGAAAAGTTAAGACGAGGCTGAAAGTGCAGGGCAGTCCAGTTCAGTCTAGTCGGGATGAGAATTGCATTTGTGAGGCATGGCTATGTGAAATTCGAGGGAAACGTGGGGTCTATGCATATGATTGTGGGAGAAGTTAAACTTTTACTCCTCCTTCACCTTGAGCTAGCTGGGAGGAGGAAAACTCATTTTAAAGATATAGTGTTCGCTAATTTGTATTGATATAATTTATTGTTAGGGGGACCTTCATTTCGAACGAAAGTACATGATGAAGAGATTCGTTTGTCGTTCTCACCAGATGAGGACGGATGAAAATCGTTGTACTGCTCTTTACTTAATTTTCTTTCCAATCATAATTACAAAACTAAAGTTGGTATTTTAAAGTCAATGATTA